TGATAATGTTTATTAATGTTTATTTTACAACATAGGAAAAATAAATAAATAAATCAAATTCATACACAATAAGTGTTCATTATAATTGAAAAAGCAAGTTTTACATGTCAATATAAATGGGGAATGAAAAGAAATAAAGTTGTGTTTGGTAAAAGATTTAAATAATAATAATACGAATCAAAATACCTTCTATAAATAAAATATTAATATGTATGTTAGAAAAAACTTAAGTGCAGTCTTGCAATTTTTTTATTGTATATTTTAAATATAATTAATTATCTTTAATAAAACAAACATGACTTAGCTATTTAATCACTTCCTTGTATGTGAATGCTTCCATCCATCAAATATTCATAATGTTCATGATTATTAATTATTCAATATGTTTGATATTATGATTGACATAACAAACAATTGCATCACCCAAGTAGTAATAATACCAAGGCCATGCAAAAATGAAACTTTTAATAATGTGTCTACCCAGATCTCTGGGATTCACAAAATAAATTATTTTTCCTGATCGTTCCCTATGAATGATAAATCTGATGTTTATTGCAAGTGTCAGATTTAATTAAAATTTTCCTATCACAAACATGCTGGTCTGCACAATTAAGTACCTTTCAGCACCATGGAGTGCCCCCCAATGGTTGAAAGTGCCCTGAACATGTTGGAAGGCTTTGGACAAAACTTTCCCCATCTTTCTCTCAGGCCAGGCTTGGTTTTTTACCACATGAGCATTGATAACTGATAGCTGGTGCTTGTGTGTTGTTTTCTTTGCATTATCACCCTCTAGAATAAAGTCGGTATCTGCAACTGATTCAAAATTCTCCAACTCGGAAGGTTGTGACCTGGGTTGCTGTCTTGGATTTTCCCTGAATTCAGAGTTTTGAGTCCTGGATTGCTGTCTTGTCAGGGCATGTCTACTTACTAATAACCCTACCCCATTTAAATAACAAGTTCAGTTGGTTAAATAAAAATCAAAAGAAACAGGAATTTATGGGAATGATTAATTTATAATATTACATACCAAAATCAAAACCAATTTCTTGTTGGCCATGTTGCTGACAAGATGTATATAAACGTGTGATAATTTTAATCTATAGGATGGGGAAATAACCCATTCAGTCCCCTACCCAAAATTATAAATTGGTTAGTATTAAAGAAACAAAGAATTTAGGAAAATAATTATACAAAACAAACACTATTTTACACCCTATCCTTACCCTAGAGGTAGGATCATTGCAGGCAACTTTTCAGCCAGCATGCCAGCAGCTTTCTCCAGTCTGGGTGCTGTGAGAAAATATTAGTGAAAGTGTCATTGACAATTGATGCAGTCTTGGTAAATCTCAGAGCTATGTCCTCCCCTGAAAATTTAACTCATCATTGTATCATCGGGACACAGTAGTCAGATTAGCCTTGTGTCACAAGGAATGTGTGAGAATGACTGTAAAGTGTTCAAGGTAGCGTGTATGCTTCAACATCTGCTAATTTCCAATAATCAAACATCCAATATCAAAATGTTCCTTTTTCAACAGTATACTGCCTTGACAACTTGTAATTAATCATAATAATATTAATATTAATAAAAATTACGAAAGACAAAAGCGAATCTTGATGAGAATCTTATATGAAACTTATAAATTACCAAGTTCTATTCCGCGTTTTGATTCTAATTAAAATATTTATAATACTTAAAAAAAAACATACCTATACAAGTAAAAAAATACCATTGGTTAGTTATTAACACTTCTTCTTTATGAGAGCCATACCAAAAAACAACACTCATGTTTTGTCACCTTGGACTCTGTCGAAAAATAAAAAATCAATTCCGAAAAAATCTTCATGCAATGCCAAATGCCAATAATATGTGTTTTTGTGTTTGTGTTTTTTTTTTCTTTTTTAAAAAATTTTAAAAAATGTTAAAGAAAAACAGAAATAAAAGAGGCCGTAGTGCTGCTAATGTGTATGTGGTTATCATAAGAATGGTGGTTATTGTCACTTGTTGTTACTTATAATGAAAAGTCATGACTGTTTAGTTTATTACAAAAATCTTGTCAATCTTGACCAAATACTCAGATTTTATTCATTTATGTACATTTATTTATTTAACAATTTCAGGGAAAAGACCACTGGTAAAAAAAGCAAAAAGTGAAATGAACCTATCTGAAGATTCTTCCAATTCACACAATTCCTCTATTAATTCTTTTTATTCTTCTGCTAGTTCTTCTGGTATGATAATAAAGCTGGAGTTACCATTATAATTTAAAAAATCAGCTAGCTTGACTAACTTGACTTTTTTGATCATAGGATCAAGCCAGGGATTATTTTCAGGAATTACATTAACTATCTGGACTCACTTTAAACAGATCTTTGATAGGGATATGGTTCAGAGAAGATATACATTTGACAAAATGTGTTATTCCATAGCCATGTGCATTCATGAACTTGGGGGAGATATTAGGCAATCAACAATCAAAAAATTTTATAATAGAAGTAGTAGTTGTAAACCAAATACCATGGACCAAATTGGGGGCATGGACAATAGAAAGGGACCAAACGTCAAAAATCATGATTTTGAGTTAATGACATTCTTATATGTAATTCACTACGAGGATTAATTTTAGCTTAGAAACAATACCCACATTACTTAATAAAATTTTGAGATATTTTCTGTTAAAGTTTTTAAAAACAATAGGTAATTACTTGAAATGCAGATCTTTTTTTTCGATTATCTCAAAATTGTGATTTTGACGTTTGGTCCCTTTCTATTGTCCATGCCCCATTGGTTCATGGATAGATAGTATGGAGTAGTGAGATGGAACCACCATTTTAAGGTTTAGGGGCCAGTGTCTTCTTCCCTTTAAATGTTCACTACTCCAATATTTTTTATTGTATTAGTTTTCATATAAAAATAATAAAGATACATCTTAATTTTTTAAAATAATAAGTTCACATACAATGGTTTTTGATTTCTCACTTGATTAAAACGTAATTGTCAAGATCCACACCTCTTTGAGAAGGTGAATAACTACTTCATTCATCTTTGGTTATAATCATTTGCAAAATTTTTTGATATGTGGGAAAAGTCTTAGATCAGATAATCAGCATGTCATGTGACATCAATGGGGCTGTGCAAGTTACCATTTATTTTGATGCAATATTAAAAAACTGTTGTTTTGCAATTTCAAATTTGGAAAAAAAAATTTTCTTTTTTGAAAGTAGGTTTTATACTTTTTTCTTTCTTTCCCACAATCTACAACAACTTTGTTAAGAACAAAAGATGCACCTGTGGTAGACTGTCTTGTTCTATCAGAAGCCAGTAACTGGCAAGTCATCATCTAAGAATGGCCAGCCATTGTATAAACAACAGCACACCTCTACATTAATTGACTTTAATCAAACAAGATGCACTTATCTTTCTTTTTATTAAAATTTTCATGTATTGAGATATGACTATGACATCTTCATGGGCAGAAGTGAAAAAATGCAATATAGGTTGGATGGCTTCATACAATAATCCCACTCCTATAGAATTCTTTCACTTGCTTTCACCATCACACAAATCCAGTGCGTTTGGAAAACATAATGTGCTTCTCAGCCAGGCTATTAAATGTTATGAGGATCCAGTCAAGCAGTTGGAACTAGAAAAAATAAAAGAAACAGCTGATGTACATAATCAAATTTGCAATTCTTTGAGCATATGAAAATACAGTATTTCTAACATATATACTCTCTTCACTAAATAGTGTCATGCAGACTGGAATGTGTGGTTGATAGAGAGAAAAGCAGTATGTTCAATCACAAATTTTCAACAAGGTACATGGCTAACTATGATAATTTATATCTGATAGGGGTTGATTCACAATGAGGTTCATGAGACAAATGTGGAAGTCCACTGAGAATTGAACACATTTGTCAGGAATTCGGGAAAGCAAAAGGTATCATTATTAATCTTCTGACTGTTGGCTTTTATCAATTGTGAGTGCATGTAAAAAATAATTACTGTTCTGCAGAGTAATGACAATGCCAATGGTGAGACAGAGGAAGGTAGCAACAGCAATAACATCAATGTCAATGATGAGGAAGAGAAAGGTAGCAATAGCAATAGTACCAATGCTGATAACAAGAAAGAGAAAGGTTGCAATAATGTCAATGAGGAAGAGTGTGAAGAATTTGCAGATAGGAACAAGGTCTGCATCTCTTTATTGTAGTGCATTTGGTATGATCAGAAAATATTAAATTTGTTTTGTTTCTTTATAGATAATCATACATGATATTCTCAATGATATTCTTTTGGCATCTCAAGCTGAAAAAGATGTCTTAGATATATACTGTTCCAAATTCAGCCATTGTTCAGTTATGGATCTTCAGTTAAATTCAGAATTCTCCCTTTTTTTAGATCAGGAATTGCAAGAACGGATATTACATGAAGTTTTTGATACAATAGATAACGATTATGTTACAGATGAAATACATAATTTTCTCACTGATTTTTTTAATGCTAATCATGGAAAGGAAGGTTGGTGTGATGCAATTCGGAGTATAGCAATTGATGAAAATTACTCAAAGATGTCAAGCAACTATTAAAGGAAACTTTAAGTCGATTGTAAGTTGAAAGTTGTGGGTAATTCTGTTTTACAAAATTACTAATACCTATTGTGTGTAGCATAAAGGCCTTCTCTTTGAATTCCCTTAATCCATTAAGAGGTATAACAATATTAGAAAGTCCTCATCTCAACCAATTTATACATCCTTTGATTGACTGTACCTTGTGGAGATTTTCAAAAATAAATTATATTTCGTAAGTTGAAGTTAATTTTGTTTTTTTCTCTCTGGTTTTTAATAAAATTAATTAGATTGTGCTAACATAATTTACATGATTTCATTAGAGGTGAAATTAGTTTGCACGGAAAAATCAAGTCTATGGCAGATGGTGTTGGGTTTTTAAATGATGTCTCAAATTATCAGTTTATTTGCATGGAGGGGGCAAAACCAGGCACAGGAAAGAAAAAAATTGTTGACGATGATGGAAAGAACATAAGAAATATGATACAGATTAAGGTTTCTGGTCCAAACTGTTTTCTCAAAGCCCAAACTAGTTTGGGCAATTTGGGCTTCTCAACATTTTTTATAAGCATGAACATTAAAATAATTTCGCCCAATTTCAGCTAATAACCAAAAGTAGTTTGGGCTTATAAAAAAAAAATTTTGCCTAAAATATTTGGGCAATTTCGGCTACTAATAGAAGCAGTTTCGACCAGAAACCTTAATACAGATATTCAATCATATAATAATTTCAGAAGCTACTGAATGAGGACAGATTTATACTGGCCTTTGAATATATGGTGCAACTGCTTATAAAACTGAACTCTCCCTTACAATGATAGATTATTGAGGTATGTAATATGTGAAACTTCATAGTGATGTTATATGTAGCTAGGAATTGACTATGTCAATTTTGTGTGATCATCAGGAACATACCAATTATTTGAAGTGGATCATTTTAATTTACCTAAGGACTGGGTAGATATGCCCAATTTTGTTTTTGTGTATGAAGCCTTGATAAAATGGTAAGTATATACATGAAATTTATCATCTGTATTGCAAAGTGTTACTATTGTGTCAATAACAAGGTAATCATCATATAGTTATACAAGAGGAAAGTTGATTGCTCAGCACAAGAAGAGAAGGATGGGAGGTACAGTCAAACCCTCGTTTCAATGGATTTTTGGTTTTACCCCTTGATTTTATTAATTAAAAAATTCTCGTTTCAACAGATTTTATATTTAAATCGTGTTTCAACAGACAACAGATTTTTTGGTAGGATTTTAGTAACAAGTACATATGTAAACTCGATAAGTCGGTCATGTCAGGGCGGACCCTTTCGACCGACTTATCGAATTTCACGTGATTTTTTAATTTATTAAAATAAAAAATATTAACATTGAAAATATAAACATCAAAAATACACAGTGAGTCTTGGTATAACGGATATGTTTGCTCCAGGAAATTTATCCGCTATACCGAGTCATCTGTAATGCCGAGATAACCATAAAAAATCGAATTTTTGATTAAATCATGTGATACATGTTACGTAAAAAATTATTTTTATTTTTAATAATATGAATGCAAATAATAATGATGATAATAAAAATACAGTTGGTAAAAAATTAAAAAAAAAAAACAATTCATTCACTTAAAACATTGACATTATAATAATCTTCCATTCTTGTTTGCACTTGTTCTTGAGAATTTTTGTAAGAAATTTCACTTTTTAATCTTTTGACATTTCTAATTACTTGAAAATCAATATCTAAAATTTTTTGCTGTACATATTTAAGTATAATTTCCGGAGCTTTTATAGCTTCCATATTAATGATCATCAGCTCAGGTTCATTTGTTTCATTTGTTTCATCATCATCAACTTCACTTTGTCCTTTTACAATATTTACAATTTTAGCATATAAAGAAATAAAAGGAAATGACATATTGATAGCATCATTGCCAAGAAATAGTTAGAAATATGTTAGATCAAATTGTGAATGTATTGCTGATTATTACAATTATTTTACATTCTTAATACGGTGCTGATCATCTATACTCAAAATAAAAATTGACATTACTAAACCTGGTAAAAGTAAACAAAAAATTATTTTTAAAAAAATTCTAACCACTGATTTTTATTAAGCAACATTAGAACTTTCAAAATTAGTGGCTAGATTTCAATATTGATCAAGTTATGCAGGATCAAAGTAGCACCAAATTATATATAAAGATCCAAAAATGGGACTAAGTAAATCAGTGTAACGTCGCGTTTTTCAATTCATTTTTTATTTCAAAAAATTCTGATATTGTAATAATTAAATATGCCATTAACAAAAATCAAATTGCTCAAAGAAAAAATTCGAAAAATCAACCTAAAAATTTGTCTACAGGCCAATTTGAAAAAAAAAATAAAGCATCAGATTCTTCTAACTCAGATTTTATTTTATCAGATGAAATTTATTCTTCAGATTCTGATGTTGATATTATTCACATTGATGCTGAAGTAGCTATAAAACAAGGAAAAAGAAATAATCCTGAAAATAAAATTGGAATACCACAAACCACCAAATACAGAAAATATGGATCATCTGGTGAATTTATTAAAGCTGCTAAAAATACAAAAAAAAAGTGGTAATAAGATAAGTTAATAAATATAGATGAAATAAGCAACAATGAAAAAGATATGAATGAATCAGATGAATTCAGTGATGATATAAATAATAAAGAGATAGATGATCTTGAAAAAGATAATAATATTGCAAATGAAATTAATGATGGTATTCTGGACATTAATGTAAATATTAATCATAGTGATTTAGACAATTTTGGTAGTTCTTCTGGAGAAGAGAATATAGGTCTTATAAATAAAATCAATCTGGATAAACTTGAAAATATTTTAAAGAATAAAAAATTGCCTGCAAGTGAATATTTTCAATATTTAGTTATTTATAAATATTTTGTTAACTTAAATAAAGATTTAGGTAAAATGGAAGCAAGTAACACTCACCTACCATAAATATCTGGGGTGTGCGACATTCTAAGAAAATCAAAACTAATTAATGTCATATATTGATTGGTTATATGTGATTTTTTTTGTGATCTGCATATCACTTACAGAATTTCCGAAATTTACGTATAGAACATTGTTTTCAAAACACTACTCC